TGCAGGATACAAAACCAACATACAAAAATCACTTGTGTTTCTATACACTAACAACGAAGAAGAAGAAAGAGAAATTAAGAATACAATCCCAGGGCCAGCCCCATGGCCAGGTGGTTGGGTTCACATGTTCCGCTTCAGCGGGCCAGGTTTTCATCGGTGTGGATCCTGGGTGTGGACATGACACCGCTCGTCAGGCCATGCTGGGGCAGCACCCCAAATGCCACAGCTGGAAGGAGCCACAACTAAAAATGCACAACTATGTACCAGGGGGCTTTGGGGAGAAAAAGGAAAAATAAAATCTTTAAAAAAAAAAATACCACCCCATTTACAATTGTAACAAAAAAAATAAAATACCTAGGAATAAAATTAACCAAAGAGGTGAAAGACCTGTACACCGAAAACTGCAAAATATTGTTGAAAGAAACTGAAGACACAAAGAAATGGAAAGATATCCTGTGATCTTGTATTGGAATGATTACCATAGTTAAAACGTCAGTACTTCCCAAAGCAATCTACAGATTCAATGCAATCCCTATCAAAGGTCCAATGCCATTTTTCACAGAAATAGAACAAAGAATCCTAAAATTTATATGGAACAACAAAAGACCCCACCTGAATAGCCAAAAGGATCCTGAGAAAAAAGAACAAAGCTGGAGGTATCACACTCCCTGATTTCAAAACACACTACAAAGCTATAGTAACCAAAACAGCATGGTACTGGCACAAAAACAGACACACAGATCAATGGAACAGAATCAAGAGCCCAGAAATAAACCCACACATCTACGGACAGCTAATTTTCAACAAGGGAGCCAAGAAAATACAATGGAGAAAGGAAAAAAATCAATCAATCTTCAATAAATGGTGTTGGGAAAACCAGACAGCCACATGCAAAAGAATGAAAGTAGGGCCGGCCCGGTGGCACAGCAGTTAAATTCGCACATTCCACTTCTTGGCAGCCCAGGGTTCGCTGGTTCGGATCCCAGGTGCAGACATGGCACCGCGTAGCACGCCATGCTCTGGTAGGTGTCCCACATAGAAAGCAGAGGAAGATGGGCACGGATGTTAGCTCAGGGCTAGTCTTCCTCAGAAAAAAGAGGAGGATTGGGAGTAGTTAGCTCAGGGCTAATCTTCCTCAAAAAAAAAAAAAGAAAGAAAGTAGACCATTACCTTACACCATGCACAAAAATTAACTCAAAATGGATTAAAGACTTGAATCTAAGACCTGAAACCATGAAGCTTCTAGAAGAAAACATAGGCAATACATTGTGTGACATCAGTCTTCGCAGCATATTTTCAAGTACCATGTCTGACGGGGCAAGGGACACTATAGAAAAAATGAACAAATGAGACTACATCAAACTAAAAACCTTCTGCACAGCAAAGGAAACCACCAACAAACTACCTAAAAACACAACCTAACAATGGGAAGAAGATATTTGCAAACCATATATCTGATAAGGGGTTAACATCGAAAATATATAAAGAACTCATACATCTCAACAACAAAACAACTAACAATCCAATAAAAAAAAAATGGGAAAAGGATCTGAACAGACATTTCTCCAAAGAAGATATACAGATGGCCAACAGGCATATGAAAAGATGTTCAACATCACTAATTATCAGGCAAATGCAAATCAAAACTGCAATGAGATATCACCTCACACCTGTCAGAATGGCTATAATTAACAAGACAGGAAATAATAAGTGTTGGAGAGGATGTGGAGGAAAGGGAACCCTCATACACTCCTGGTGAGAGTGCAAACTGGTGCAGCCACTATGGAAAACAGTATGGAGATTCCCCCCAAAATTAAGAATAGAACGACCACATGATCCAGCTATTCCACTGCTGGGTATTTATCCAAAGAACATGACAACACGAATGTGCAAAGATATATGCACCCCTATGTTCACTGCAGCATTATTCACAATAGCCAAGACTTGGAAGCGACCTAGGTGCCCATCAAGGGATGATTGGATAAAGCAGATGTGGTATATACACACAATGGAATACTATTTGGCCATAGAAAATGATGAAATCCGGCCATTTTTGACAATATGGATGGACCTTGGGGGTATTATGTTAAGTGAAATAAGTCAGAGGGAGAAAGTCAAATACCTTATGATCTCACTCATAAATAGAAGACAAAAACAACAAACAGGGTCAGGCCTGGTGGCATAGTGATTAAGTTCGCATGCTCTACTTCAGCAGCCTGGGTTCACAGGTTCAGATCTGGGTGCCAACCTACACACTACTCATCAAGCCCTGCTGGGGCAGAGTCCCCCACACACAAAATAGAGGAGGATGGGCACAGATGTTAGCTCAGGGACAATCTTCCTCAGCAAAAAAAAACACACACACATAGAGACAGAGATTGGATTGGTGGTTACCAGAGGGGAGGAAGGAGGGTAAAAGGGGCGATTAGGTACATGGGTACGGTGATAGATTGTAACTAGTCTCCGGGTAGTGAACATGATGTAATCTACACAAAAATCGAAGTATAATGATGTACACCCAAAATTTATATAATGTTATAAACCCATGTTACTGCAATAAAAAAATAAAAGAGGGGCCAACGCGGTGGCGCAGTGGTTAAGTGCGCACATTCCGATTCAGCGGCCTGGTGTTCGCTGGTTCGGATCCCGGTTGCGGACATGGCACCACTTGGCATGCCATGCTGTGGTAGGCGTCCCACATAGAAAGTAGAGGAAGATGCGCACAGATGTTAGCTCAGGGCCAGCCTTCCTCAGCAAAAAGAGGAGGCTTGGCAGCAGATGTTAGCTCAGAGCTAATCTTCCTCAAAAAAAAAAGAAAGAAAAGAAAAAACCCAGATAAAATTGAAAAATAAAATAAAACAAGTTTTGTTGAAGCTGAGTTAATCATGTGTCTCCTACTTTCATCCCCTTCATAAAAAATAAAGTCCAAGCTCCTTCGCATGACTTGGAAGTCCTCCGCGTCCCCGGTTCCACAGCTTCTCCACTTCTTCCTCCTCCCAGGCCAGGGTCTGCACTGCCCGCAGGTCACTGCCCTTTCTGACCACCCAGCGTGGTCCCTTTGGCCTGGCGGAGGCGTGACCAGGGCAGGATGCCCAGCGGCTTCCCAGACTCGCGGGAAGGCGAGAACGACGTATGTCATGCGTACTTCAGCACATTCATCACCTGTGCTGAAAGGACAATGCTGCGGACACCGCGGGTTAAAGGCAAATGTGCTAAAACTAATGTCACCTGCTCCCCTTTTACTGCGGCCTCTGGACCGTCCCACGTCACGTGCGCGTCGCGCCGGCCTCTCCCGTGACCGCGCGAGCCCCACGCCCGGGCCCCGCAGTGTGCGGCCTCAGCGACCCGCCACAGGAGCAAGTCGGCGAGCGCCTCCGCGCGGAGGGCACGCGGGAGCCGAACGTCTGCGGCGTTTGCGTGCGCGTGAGTGAGAACGCGCGGGCGCCTGGCGCGGAGCCGGGACCGGGCCGGGGCGGGGCCGGACGGGCGTGCTTGCGGGAGCGCGCGCGAGAGACGGCCTGAGGCGCCAAGGAGCATGCGCGCCGAGGGGGGGCGGGGCGAGTCCGGGAAGGGGTAGGGCCGCGGCCGCGCCCCTGACTTCCGCCGTCTGCTGGCGAGACGACCTACGGTCTAGTAACGCGCCCCCGCAAGGCTGGGGAGGGGGGGGATTTCCCTGGCCCCGCCCCCAGGCCCCACCGCTGGCCTATAGGAACTGAGCAGTCCCGCGGGCACCGGAAGGAGGCGGAGCCTGCGCCCTTTCAGGGGCTGGGCGTCCTGAGCCCAGCGCGCCCTCTGTTGATCCTCTTAGGAGCTGCATGGAACCCGTCGGGCACGCCTCGCACCTGACCCAAAGGGGTCGCTTTGGGGGACTTGGGAAGGGGCGTACCCCTCAACCCACCACCCCCCCCCGGGATTCTAAGCCCCACGCCTCAGAGGCGCAGAAATTTAACTAGATACACTCAAAAGGAGAGAAAATTAGTTATAATGCTAAATTAAAGAAGCCAGACTCAAAGGGCTAAATATTGTTATGATTCCATTTATATGACATTTTGGAAAAGGCAAGACTATAGGAATAGAGAATAGATTGGTGGTTGCCAGGTGGATCATAAAGGGACATGGGGAACTTGGGACAAGAGGGAATTAATGGATGTCTTGACTGTGGTGGTGGTTATACAACTGTATGCATTTGTCAAAATTCACACAACCAAAAACTAAGTGTGAATTTTACTAAATGTAAATTACACCGTAATTTTTTAAAATACTAAAAACGGAAAGCAGATTGGTAGTTGCTGGGGGCTGGGAGGAGGGAGTAATGAAGACAGATTGATTAACAGTAAGGGGTTCGTTTTGGAGTGATGTAAATGTTTTGGAACTAGATAGAAATGATGATTGCACAACATTGTGAATGTACTAAATGCCACTGAATTATTCCCTTTAAAATGGTTAATTTTGTTCTGTGAATTTCACCTTTAAAAATAATATAAAAAGTCCTAAAAAAACAAAAAATGCAAGCTCCTGCCTGCCTTTCCATTCAAGTTCATGTCTGGAGGCATTCATGGTGGGGTGTGACATGAATCGGCTCTTCTTCCACTCTGGCCTCTGGCCTCCCGTACCTGTCACAGTGTGAGTATGAGGAAAAGCAGGCGGAGAGGGACTCGTTGTACATCGGTCTCCGGTCATGGCAAAACCTAGGGATCCTGACCATCCTATGTTATAGGAACCTGGGGCTTGGTTGTTTGTTCTCTCCTCGCCTCCCGCCAAGGAGGAGTTGAGAGCTGCTTGTCCCACCCCCAACACCATCTCCCATCTTTGCAGAATACCCAGAGTGATCCCAAGAAATCTGAGAACCCCGATTTTTCATCACAACATCACACAAAAATTGGGGGAACAGTGCTTGCCCGCATCCAGTCCCAGCGAGTGGGCCCAAACAGCACCCCCTCCTCTACCCCAGGAAGCTTTCCCCATCCCCTCAGGACAACTCACACCCAGGAGACACGGAATCTAAAAAACAAAGTACAAACTTTATTTTGTTTCTTTATAAAGGCACCGTGGCCTCTTGGTTTTTTTCGCCTCGCTTTCTTAACAAAATATAATAGCTTCTCCTTGAACACAAAGACCTCAAAATTGTAAAACAAAAAACAAATCCAAAAAAAAAAACCAACAACAAACAAAACAAAGAGAGAGAGACGAAGACATTTTGGGGGTTGAAGATGGGACACCCAGAGGGAGAGGTGGGGGCTGGGTGGTGGTGGAGAGTGGCGAATCCTAGTGCTGAGACGGGTGGGGAGGGGGGAAGGGCAGCAGCAAATCCCAACCGAGAAGCAACGTAGACCCTCGGACCCCCAACCCAACCAGACCCCCACCCAGGTAAGTGCTTAAAGGAGAAAGAAGAAACCCAAAAAGAGGAGGGGGAGGAGAGTTAAAAACTGACGGTCGTAGGGCTGGCTCCGGGGAGGGCAAAAATACTTGGGGTTTTCTTGATTTTCCCTGTTCTTAAAAACACGTTTAAATGAAAAAATGCTTTTTGTCCGAGAGAGGCCAGGCACCCCAGTGTCAGCTCCCCACGCCCCGGCCGAGGCCCAGCCCCAGGTGTCCCGGTGGCTCCCACGCGCCTCTGCCACCCCACCCCGGGGACTTCGGGTTGGGTGGCTTCGCTCAAAGGTCGATTTACAGTATTGAAAAAGAGGTCATAAAAGAGACCCAAATGACGTCGTAATTTTGTAAAAATTCCTCACTCGTGCGCCCGCGTTTCTCCCTGTTGCTGCCCTGGCCCCCTCCAGCCCCCAGAAGGGAGAGGAGGGCTGGGGGTGGTCAGGGAAGCCCCCCGCTCCCCGCCGGCTCCTCCCGGCTCTGGTCCATGGCGTCGCTGTCCGATGCCTCCGAGTCAGAGGCGGTGTCCGAGGCGTGCGCCTCGGGGCAGCTGCGCACCGGCTTCACGATGACCGCTCGCCGCTGCTCCTCCTCCTGCTCCTGCCTTTCCTGGGTGCCCTCGATGTGCTGGATCGCCTGCAGGTCAGGCTGCAATGAGGATGGCCGGGGGCACGCGGGAACCCACTGGCCATCCCCCACCCCTACACAACCCCCCCAGAAAGGTCCAGAAGTAAGCCTGGCAAAGCTCCCAACCGCTGGGGGCAGCCAGGGGAAGCAAAGTTTAGGAACCCCTCTGCTGAGCTGCAAACCCCTCCAGAGGTGACAGGGCAGGGCTGCGTGGAAGTCACAGGTGTCTTTCAAAGTCCGCCTGTTCCCTCGTGGAACGTCTTTGTTTTTAACTTTATTATTCACTTTGCTGGTTTTATGTGCAAGGAAAGTTCCAGGGGTTGACGAGCTTTTTTTCTGTTTGGGCTTTTTTGGTTTAGTTGTTTATTTCTTTATTTGTGACGTCCCTGGGTCTCCCAAAGGGTCCCTCACAAGGCTGGGCACAGCAGTGACTTTGGGCTTGACCCATACAGTGGATCATCTTTCTTCTTCCTCTGTATGAGGCTTAACTGTCACCCTCCCAGCCACGGCCACCTCTACCCCCATCCCAGGTCCTAGGAGATGGAGGCAAGAGCAAGTTGTGGGCCAACCCAAGAGCTGGATGCAGGGACTCTGAAAGCAGTGGGCTCTGAGAGCAAAGGACCTCCTCAGTGAACCCCATGTGGAGGAAAGGAACGGGGTCTTCCCTCTGCCCCTCCCCTTCTCCACAGAGCCACCTTCCACCCGAGATACAGATGCAGGGAAGGAGACCCATCCGGCTTCCAGACCTTGCCCCCGCGACGCTCGAACCCCATCTCAGTTCCCTGCAGCCCCCCACTTTCTAATCTCCTCCAAAGGAGCTGTTCCCAGAGGATGACCCTGCTGCCCCCTCCCCGAGCCAGGTACCTGCACGATGGTGTCCAGGTTTTGCCGGGACGTGGAGACAGAGTTGATGACCGAGGAGGGGCCCATGGTGACGACGTTGATGTGGTGGGAGGGAGGGGGTGGCGGCGCCGGCACGATCACCGTGGGGTGGTGGGTGGGGGCCGGAGTGGGCAGGAGCTGTGAGGCAGAGGCCCTCAGTCTTCCTCCAGAGGTTCTGGGAGCTGCTCCTTCCCTTCCGTCCATCACGGAGAGGATGGGCCAGCCTTCCCAAACCATCTCCCTCTGCCAACCACCCCAGCCCACTGACCTCCTTCCCTCATAGGGAGCTGGCCAATTTGTGACCCCCCCCCCGAGCTATCTTATTTTAAGAAACAAAGAAAAGGGGGCCTAGTGAGGGGCTTCCAGCCATCCGAGATCCCGCAGCCCCTTCACTCCCCAGTGCCAAGCAAGCACTTCAGCATCTAATAAATACAGTGGTGGTCAGCAGTTTAGACTCTGAATTTAGACAGCCAGGGTTCAAATCGCTGAGGATCTTGGGCAAGTTATTTAACCTTTCTGTGCCTCAATTTCCTCATCAGTAAACGAGTCATCACAGCTCAGGCCTGAGAAGGCTGCTATAAGGATTCATTGTAATAAAGTATGCAAGACACCTGGGAACCACGAATGTCTGCCTTAATAAGAGTTAGACCCTGGGCCTGCCCTGCTGGACGCCCGGAGGCACCGAGGCTGACTCTGAGAGTCCCTCCCGGGTACCACCTGCTCACCTGGGTCCGCAGGTGCTGCTGTTCCCGCTCCAGCTTCTCCTGGTGCAGCAGCCGCACCTGCTCCTGCTGCTGCTGCAGCTGCACCTGCTGTGCGATCACCTTGAGCTTTTCCGGGTACATGTGGGCCTCCAGCGAGCGCACCTGGGGGCGGAGCAGCAGGCTCAGGGGCAGGGCCCAGACCACACCCTAGCTCCTCCCCCTCCCTCCCCACGCTCTATCCTTCACAAAGCAGGCCATTCACTCCTGCTGCAAACCCTAGCATGCGCCGGCACCCTCGGGGTAGAGACCTGGGGTAGAGCCCAAAGTCCGACCATAGCCGCCAGGCCCGCCATGACTCATCTCTCCTGCCCTGGCCTCCCTCGGGCTGTGCTCACTACTGCCTCCAGGCCTTTCTTTGCCCTTGGTGTTCCCTCTGCCTGGTTAACTGTGAGACTTGGCCTCCCAAACTCGGCTCAAGTCACTTCCACAGAGAAGCCATGGGGCGGCCACTCTGGACCCAGGCCAAATCCCCCTCCTGATGCCCACCGCTGGCGCAGGGCCTTGATCACAGCTGCATTTTTACAATGTGAGATCCTTTGACTAATCTCCCCTACCCCTATGCACACAGCCCCAGGTGGACCCCCCACTCCTAGGCCTGGCACAAAGTTTTCAGGTGCTCCTGTAAATAACTGCTCAAAAGAAGCAGGGACAGGAGGAAAGGAAGAGAGATGGACAGGAACGCCCCTGCCCCATCCCGCCCACCTCACCTGCTCCTCCAGCATCATGCGCACCGAGCGCTCCTTGTCCAGCTGCTGCCGCAGCTCAATCATCTCCCGTCGCAAGTCTTCCGCCTTCTCATCCTCCCAGATGTCTGGTGAGCCAATGCCCTCATCCTTGTCTTCTGCCCGCCGCCGCTTGGGGGACGAGCCACTCAGTTCCTGGGGACCCCAAGGGGTCGGTGAGTGTGCCTTGACACCCCTATTCCACCACCAATAACGGGGAAGTCAGGGGGCCCCATCGCAGCCCCCAAAGCTGTCAAACCCAGGTGCACCAGCACCGGGGAGCCCCAATCTGCAAATCCAACAAACGGCCAAAGGCCAGAAAGGGAGGCAGAATGGACTCGCTTTCCAAAAGTCATGTGGTTCCTCCCAGAGCCCACTTCACTGCACGTGACAGATGGGTAAACTGAGGCCCAGGCAGGAAGGCAAGTGCCTGAAGTAGGCAGGTCAGTGGGGAAGATGGGACCTGCAGCCACATCAGAGTCCCAGGCCAGTGGTTGGACCCAGGGCACGCCCATGCCGGGGAGAGGGTGCCAGGAGCGGGGCAGGGTGCTGAGGCCTCCACAGCATGCTACCTGGATAAAGCGCTTGAGCTGTGTGTTCTGCTGCAGGAGCCTGGTCTTCTCCTGCTCCAGGGAGAAGATGTACTCAGCTGTCTGCTGGAGGATGGCTGCCTGAGGGCAGGAGGGACAAGTCAGGGGTCCTGGCTGGCAGTGTTTGCCGAAGCTCACTTCCTTCTCCTCACTTGAGCCCACCACCTCCCCCAGGAAGCCCTCACCCACCTTGCTGAGCTTCTCTCCGTCTGTGTGGGGGATGAGGGTCTTCAGGGACTGGAAGCCCGCGTTGATGCTCTGCATGCGTCTCCGCTCGTTGCTGTTGGCGATCTCCCGCCGAATCCGCCGCTCCTGGTCCCTCTGAGTCTCAGGCGTCAGTGGAATGTTGGCAAGGCTGCCAGGGAAGACAGAGACATGCTCAGGCTAGGCCCCCACCGTGCCCTGCCCCAGATGGGCCCGTCTTTACAGTTCGTCTCCAGAGGGCCCCGAGTGTAACTTGCATCCCTCCTGCTGCAAAAGATACCAAATCTGTCTGAGGCCCACAGATCAGGAGGTAATGGAGGATCCTGCTCTGGGATGCCTACGTGTCAGAATAAGCATGCAGACTCCAGGCCCTGGCCCCAGTGTCAGGCCAGCAGATTTAGGTGGGGCCCAGAAACCGGCATGGCTAACGAGAGTTCCTGTGATTCTGATGCAGATGGGCCCAGATGCTAATCGGAGACACCTGCTCCTGGGACACTTCTGAGCTCCCTGCTATGTATCTGGACCCCTCCTTCAGCGTCACAGGCGTAAGAACTGAGGAAGATGTTCCTCCTCCCTTCCCATCCTCACAGCCACATCTCTAGCCACAAACTCCTAGGCAAGCCCCCAGCCGTCCCCAGGCACGCTGCGCTAAGACTTCAAAGACAAGACAGGTACCATTCACTCCTGGAAGGGGACACCAGGCCAACTACCCCTGGGGACAGTTCTCCTCCAAGCCCACCCACCCCAGGAGGCAGGCCCACCCTGTGCCAGGGAGGTGAAGCTGCCAGCATGCAGTGAGCAATGTTATTGCATATTATGTGACTGCATCTTGGAAGAGCGGCAGCGAGTGGGGTGAGAGAGAAGGCAGCCAGCGGAAGGGGGCGAGGCCGAGGGCCAAGAGGCGTTGGCGGGAGGTAGAGACAGCAGCGGGGCCTGTAGGCCCAACGCCACTACTCCCGAGGGGTGGGCCTGTGTGTGGCCTGGAGGAGGCATGCCCCCCTTCCCAGCCCTCTCCTGCAACTGCCCCCGCCCCTGGCCTGATGGCTTCCAGATGCTGGGCTCCCAGAAGAGGCCACCAGCCCCACCCAAAGCCACAGCCCTGGCTTCCTTCTGAGGGGCCCTCACGGGGTGACCTGGGTGGCGAATGGGGAAAGGACTCTGGGCAGCCTTGTCCCATTGATGGGGGAGCCTGGGCTTAAGGAGGTAGCCAGGCCCCCATACCCATCCCCAGGTGGGAAGGAGTTTGCTCGCAAACCCAGGAGGGGACACATCTGCAACAGCTGGAGACAGTCTTGCCTCCCCCCCATCATAGGCCCACTCCATCTCTCCCACCTCAGCTCCCTGCGGGACCCTGAACTTGTCCTTTCCTTCCTGGGCCTCAGCCTCTTCTCCCGACAGAGAGGGTGGTCACCTGGGGGTGGGCTGGGAGGAGGCTCCACATCAGCCACTGCTGGGGGTCGACAAACAAGCCCTCTCCTCTACCTCCCACCCCCACCAAGGGCTGCTGGCCCTTGCCCCCAGAGTGCAGGTCCCTTGCAGGACCTTGGAATGTCAGCGCAGGAAAGGGTGCCCACAACTCCTACTTTATAGATGAGACTAAGGGCTTAGAGCGGGAAGGACATGGTTTTAGGGTCAGACAGTGGGGCATCTGGCTTTCCCACTTCTGGGCCAGAGGACCTCAGTTCTAGTTTCTCTGCCCTATAGTGGGGGTGACGGGTAGCTGGACTGAGAAAAGAGACGATGGCGGTCAGAGACCTGATATGCGGCCGCTTGCCTGCCCTTTGTGGGGAGGGCTCAGAACGGAGCCCAGGCTCCCGGGCCTGGCAGCACCCTCCAGACCTCTGCAGTGGGGGGATCAAAGAAGAGATGGGGAGGGATGTGCACAGGACGCCAAGCCACCAGGTGATGGAGATCTGTCTGGGAGCATCCCCGTCCCCCTCAGGAGAGATTCAGGGAAAAACCTCCACTCACCCAGTCCCTGAGTCCCTCCTTGTGATACCCAAAGGCCAGAGCTGACCAGTGGTAAAGGGTCAAAAAGGAACCACTTCCACCCTTGGGCCACCCTGAGTGCTGGCCCTTCCAGAAGGCCCACCTGGAGGGCCTAGCAACAGAATAATAAGTGAAAAAAAAAAGTCAGAACATGCTCAGGACTCGCTGTGCTGGGATTTTCTCATTGAATTGTCACAGTCTTCGTCTGGGTTATGTGGCCTCCTGATTCCTGTGAGATGAGGACAGAGGCTTGGCAAGGAAACAGCTACAGCAAGTGAGGGGGCTGGGACCTGAACTCTGATCCTAGAGCCCTGCGCCTACCCCAAGAGGTCTTGGGCCACAGAGCAGAGTGGGCTCTGCATTGTCCCAACAGACAGGTGACAGTTACCCCTACAGGAAGGACCAAGCACATGTATGCATTGCCATCGTGTTACTAATGCTTTTACATTCCTCCCTGTCTGAAACCCAGCATGGTGGCTGTGTTACAGTGAGGACTCCAGGGTCCTGGGAGGGGAAGTGACATGCCCAAGGTCAGGCAGCCAGACGGGGGCACAGAAGGCGCCTACAGACCCCAGAATTCAAGCTCTCCGCTGTCCCCTACTGCTGGTGCCCTCTACTGATGGCTCATGCACACCACCCACCGCTTACCAGAGCCTTTGTGTGTGGCCTCAGGAGGCAACACGCTTCCCTTCCTGACCAACGGTGGGACGAAGCCCAGAAGGGAAGTGACTTGCCCAAGTCACACCGTGACAGACGGGCAGAGCAGGGTGCAATTGCAAGGCACCTCCTGCCCTTCCCAGCCCCCACTGCCTCCAAGCAACTCCCCCACCAAAGCCAGAGCTCAGGGCACACCCCCCAACCAGCCAGCTCTTCTGTCCATGAAACCTGAGCCCTGGAGAGCTGACGTTCAGCCCCTCACTTCTCTCCAGGATGCCTATGAGCTGGGGAGACCAAAGGAGACCCCAGCCTGAAGGAGACCCCAGAAGGGAGAGTCCTGGTGCCCAAGCGGAGAGCAGGGGCCTGCCCCTCCTGCCTTTTCCAAATGTTCCATCCTGTCCCCTTTACCTCCATGTCCATCAGCCCAGCCTCCTGGTTCAGGAACCAGCTGCTAGTTAACTTCATGCAGACTTAAGTCCCAGAAAACAGACTTCACCCCAAAGCTATGATTCCTCATGAGGACTCAGGCTGCCACCAAGACCCTCAACTATAAGTCACTTAAATAGCCCTGGAAGTACCAGCTGAGTTTCTTTAATAGAATGCGGACTGACCAGGGGTTCTGATTGGTGGAATGTTGCCTAGCCAGGGATTCTCACTGGTGGAATCATGGCCAACCAGGCGTTCTGATTGCTGACCAACCAGAGGCTCCTATAAAATAGGAAAGCTAATTAGAATTTCCAGCTGATACTGTACTTGATAAAATGGACTTTTCTGCAAATGTCTGAAAGTTTCTTACATTTCCTTCTGAGTTTTGCAGAAGTAAACATGATTTACAGTATTGTAAGGTCCTCCACCCCGTCCACATCAACTTCTGACGCTCCAGGTGAGCAGGGAAGGCGGCCAGGTCCACTGACACCAAGTGTCTCTTGCATCTTTCCCTCCCTGACTGCCCTCTGACAGCCAGTCTCCTGGGGCTGGGCACCCATTGGCGAATGAACAGTTTGGGTACCTGTTCAGCCTCAGGTGCCAAGACCAGAGCTGCCAGTCTACTACCAGAGTACCCCCAGACAAGCCCCTAGGAATAATGCTGGCATCCCACCCAGAAGCTCAGGAGGAGGGAGCACGCTCTTCCAGTCTAGATCCTGACCTGAACCTGTCCCTCCCGCCCAGCCCAAGGGCCCTGGGTATCCCCCATCCCTACATCCCTTGCCCAAGTTAGCCTCAAATTGGCCAGGGAGAACTCTCATCTCACACTGCCCTGAAGTCACTCACCCACCGGTGAGACAACATCACACAGTCAGAGGTAGGAAAGCCCACACGGGATTTCTCCCATACCCCAAAAGGAGGACAAGAGGGAGGAAGATCACCCTCACCAAGAGGCCCAAGGCACTCATCCTTCCCTCGCAGCAGGCACTGAAGCAGCCTGGGGCCCTTGCCCCCTCACACTCCAACCAGCCTGCCACCCCTGCCCTCCGTCCCAGAACACACCACATCCAGGCTAGTCCCATCAGAAACACCCCCTCCCCACGGCTTCTCCAGCCTCTCAGAGGGAGCCCCGTACTGGGTTCAAGTGCAAACTCCAGCCCTGCTTATTAGCAGTGGAACCCTAAGCTTAGCCACTTCATCTCTTGGAGCCTCAGTTTCCCCATCTGTAAAATGGGGGTATACTGCCTGGCTTCATAGGGTGGTGGTGAAGTTTAAGAGATGGAGGAGAAACAGAGCGAGAGACTGAGGAAAACAGGCTGCCTTGTTTGTCCAGAGTCTGTGTACCCAGAACTCCAGGAGAAACCAGGGATCTCTCTCAAAGGGCTGACAAAACCCTTGAGCACCGAGACTTCGAGCTCTTAGGACAGAGGCCAGTTCTGGTTCATTGTGGTATCTTCGGTCCCAGCACAAAGTAGGTGCCTCGTAAATCGGGATCAGGGACTCGACACACCCTCCAAGGCTCCTAATTGTCCTCTAACTCCTCTGAGGGGAGCTGGCCTCCTTCCCTCAACCACGGGCAGTAGGTAAACTCTTTAAGACCACCATGCTTCTAAGAGTTTTGAGTGCCATTTTAACAGCTGCCAGGCACTTTCCAATACACACAGCCACACTTCCCAGGTGCTCCATCTGACAAGGGCTGAGAGCAGTTAGGCGACAGGTCCAAAACCACAGAGCTTGCACGGGTGCCCGCTGTACAGCACGGCCCCCTCTGGTAGGTCTGGGAGATGGAGGAGAGAGGCAGGGAGTCCTGCTAGTCACTAAGGGATGGAACAAAGTCAGCCAGCCTGAGAAGCAAGTCCATCGAGCCAGAAGGTCCCTCCCAACCCACAACACTTGATCCCCAACAGGTCTCCCACCTCAGGCGGCAGCCCCCTTCTGAGAAAACAAATCCAGAGGCCCCAAGTCTATACCCAGTGCACAGGCTGACCACTGTCCCGTAGCCAGGCAGGCTGAGCACATCCTCATGCCCAACCCTGGAGGGTTTGGCCCCTGGGGAACAGCTGGACTCCTCCGAAGAGGGGTTTGGGACAGAGACAGAGTGAAGCCAGAGCCCTAGGGGGCCCAGAGAGGACTGAGCCAAGGCCCAAGCCTGGTGGCCAGAGGGCCCCAGGGTGCCAAGCCTGCCCAGGCTCAGGCCTGGAATGTTCTCTTTAGCACCTGGAGCAGCTCACCCCACCCCTCACTGCCCAGCCCTCCCCTGAGCAACCAGCAGCTCCTGTAAGAACAGAGGCTCAGGGTTCAAGTGCCAGCCCCACCACTTGCTGTAGCTGTCCGCTTCCCAAGCCTGTGTCCTCATCCTACAGAGGAATCATACAGCCAGTTAACTCAGAGGAAGATCGTGACCATTCAGTGAAAAAAAATCTAGCAAAATGAGTCCCTAGAACATATTAAGAGCTCCACTTTTTTTTTTTTCTAACCTATTACAGCTAAAGCCTCCAGGTGGACCTTCTGGAAGGGCCAGCACTCAGGGGAGCCCGGCTGGCTGCTCACTACCCTGGCCCGTCCACCCTGACCTGGAGAGTAGTTAAGGTGGGGAGCTCTAGGGCGGGGTGTGTGTATCCACGTGTGCAGCCACCTTCCTCAAACCTGCTTTCCGCACCCCCTAGTGTCCACCAGCCTGGGCCACCCCGCCCAGGGCTCCTCCTCCCTCAATCGCCGCCCTGCCTGCCCGGGGCAGCGGAGCACGTGGCCCCAGCCCTGGGGAGCCATTTCGCTCCTAGAGCAGCGCGGCAGAAAAGGGGCCGCAGGTTCCAAACTTGGGCACGCAGAAGAACCCCTCACGAACCCCTCCCACGCAGCACCCCCATCCGCGGACTGTGTTCAATATGCAGATGCCCAGGCCCTTCTCCTAGGGATCGGAGTTGCGGGCATGTGCATTTTAACAAGTGCCCAGGGTGATTCGGGTGCAGGTGGCACACGAACCCGTCACCCTTTGGTAAAGAGTGTATCTGGAGCAACCCGGGCCACACGTAGAAAGCGGCTCCTGCGGAGGGCTGCGGACCTTGGACCACCCACCCACCCGGCTGGAACACCGGACGCTTTCCGTTTATGGCTGGGGGGAGGGGCGTGGAATGAGAAAGTTTGCAGCGGAGACCCACGTGTGACGGACAGCGGTCTCGTGAAGCTAGGGGCTGCCTCTGGCGCCCCCTCCCCCAAAAGCCCCCCAACCCGGCCTGCCTCGCCCATCCAGCTCGCGGGGACCGAGCTTTGTGCGGGGAAAGCGTGGCCCAGGCGCGCCTACAACTCCCACAATGCCGCACCCGCGGGGCGCGCAGAACTACAGCTCCCGCGAGGCGACGCGCCGAGGTCCGCCTACTCCAAGAGGGCTGCAGAGTCACGTCCAGGCCTCGCTAGTAAACAGCGCCCAGGCGCGGGCAGCGAGCGAGAGAGCCGCCGCCAACGTGCCCAGGTCCGCGGCGCCCCCGGCCGGCAGCGCCGGCCCCTCGGGTCCCGCCCACCCCCGCACCCCACGCGAGCACGCCCCGCGACCCCCCTGCAGCCCCGCTCCCTGCAAACACGCACACCACCCGGCTCCCCGCCCCCCCCCGCACCCGGAGCCGCGGCGTGGCTGCATTGTAACCGCCCGCGCCCCGGCCCCACGCGCGCCCCAGGCCCCCCAGGCTCCCTTGGAGGAGAGAGCCCAGAGAGAGCGAGGAAGGAGGGAGAGGAAGGAAGCCGCCGCGGGAGGGGGGAGGAGGAAGCGCGGGGGGGAAAGCCACCAGCACCAAGCATGGCCGGGACTGCTGCAGAACCACGTGGGTCTGTTTGCAATTTACAAACGTCGCGACTCGCCCGCCTGCAGCGGACAAAAGTGACCGGGGCCACTCGGGGCCCCCACGGTCCGAGGGAGGAGGGTCCCCAGGCGGCGGGAGCCCGGCGAGCGGGGCTGCAGCCGCCCCGGAGGCTAAGAAAGGCGAGCGGGGTCGGCGGCGCGGGCCATGCGTGCGCACACACGCGCCCGCCCGAGCTGGCTGGCCGGGGGCTGCAATCGTGGGAAGGGGTTGGGGGGGAGGAGGAGTACACACCTACAGAGCCCTCCTATCACTTCTTTCTCTGTTTTCCTGAAATGTTGCAAAGAGGGCACCTTCTGAGTGGGCACCATAAAATACTCCATAGCGATCGGCCCCCCTCCTCTGCACGAGCCGGGTCCCGCGGTCCGCCGGAGAATGCAAGATGGAAATCCGAATCAAAGGGCAGCGCCGGACGGAGGTGCAGAATCGGCCGGTCCCAGATGCTGGCGGCGGCGGCGGCGAGGGGAGGGAGGCGGGCGGGAGGGGCGGGAGGGAGGTCTCTCCGGCCTGCCTCCCCGGGCGTGTGTATGTGTGTGTGTGTTTGCAGCTGATCAGATGTCTGTTTCAAGGCGGGAAACAGCTGGTGAAAACTCAGCACTCCCCCGGCCTCCTTCCGCGGAGTAAGGAATTGCATGTAAACAAAGGACTATTTGCAGCGCCCCCAGGGCGGCGCGAGGCCGGGGCGTGAGGGGCGCGGACCCCTGGGGGCCGGTGGCAGCCGAGGTCTGCGGGCCTCCCCCGCGGCTCAGGGAGCTGGGGGCCGCGGGCCGGCTGGGGGGGCGCGGCGTGAATGGAGCGAGCTGCGGCCGAGCTACATGCGCCACTATGGGTGATGAGGTCCATCAGCTGACAGGTTGGCAAGCGTTGCAAAAAAAAAAAGGCCAGCCACCGAGAGGGAGCCCAACCCGTGCGCCCGGGGTCCAGCGGGGACTGCCCGGTGGTGCAGGGTCTGCGCGCTCGGCGGCCCGCGGGGGCGGGGGATGCGCAGCTGGGCCCGGCGTGTGGCGCCGGTGGCGGCAAAGGCGGCCTGGGGTGCTGCTCGGGGCTTTTTCTTTTTCACTATTTCAACTGCACGGAGAGGAGCCGCTCTGGCGCGCTCCCTCCGAGCCCAGGGCCCCCTGGAA